ATATGTTAAATGGAGACACAAATGCTGTGTTAATATTTTAACACAAAATAAATACAAAACTTTAAATAATTTAAAATTAATTTTGTGTAAAATTAATAGTTTTAATGTAAAAGTTAATTCAAAATATATTAATTTTAAATTTTATCATTCCCAGTTATATTATAAAATAAAATATCAACATTTTTTTCCTACAAATTTTAACAGATAAATCTTGTTGCTAATAAAACAGAACATATTTATTGTGTAAAATTAAAATAGATGCACATTGTGATATTTTTACATCTTTTTTCAGTTGATTTAATAATTTAATATTTAAGTTCAATTAACACAACAGCAATATGTTAAATTATTAACACAACAGCAATATGTTAAATTATTAACACATAAATGTGTTAAATATTTAACACGAAAATTTAACGAGGACCGTTTTTAACAAGAAAACACAAATTTTTCTACTGTGTAAATTTGGGTGTATCATTTTCGATTTATTCGTCTATTTTATCAATCGAACGCAACAGGATAAATGATCCGCGATCTGAAATTATATTATGCGGCAACAAGCTTTAAGTTCCTTCAAACTCAGTGGTCATTAAGTGAATCGATGGAGTCGCTGAAGGATCTCAGGACAATCCAAGGTACTGTAGGAAGGTTACGAGTATACAGAGTCACTAATCGTTAAACTTCTACGTGGACTTTCCGGAGAATTGCCATCCCATCGTCTGAGTTTGCAGAGCATTATCGATGCTTTCTACACCTATCGATGCTAATTAAAGTTACCTGCGAAATGTCTGTCGACAGAAAGTTTTCAGTTTGTGGCGTCGTAGAGTACGTACAAAGATATGGTGCGCATAAAATGTAATATATACATATATAAAATATAAATGTATATTATTTTAGTAGGTTGATAAGAAAACGAATAAAGTAATCACAAAAATAAATCAATCGATAAAAATTTGAAAAATTTGCTGACTATCGAGCAAAATTTTTATTTCAAATTTTTATCGTAAAATATGCACTTAGTTAAAAGATTTCATTTACGTCAGAGTGAACGTAAAAATTTGACAGCTTTCGATAAGACGCGTGATGAGAACACATTTAAAAAATGATTAGAATATCTTTAAATATTCATGTAGCATTTACTAGTATCACACAAGCAACGATTAATCTATTTGGATAAGTTTGTACCTATAGTTTTTTTCTTGCATTACACGACCGGAAAATTGAGGCAAATGCATATAAATCAGAAATATATTGATATTACATTTATGTGAATCAAAAATTTATCATATATTTTGCAAACTTGTTTATTTCAGTCTATGATTCTGCTCAATATGCAATATCAAATTTTCATACATAAATTATATCAAAGAGATGGAGTACATACAGATATATTTGTATTTTGCGAAATAAATTATCGCGGAAACTCTAGCTAAATAAATGTTGCAAATTTGAACTAAAGTCGATGAAAATTTACTGTTTGCCGTTAACAAATCTAACAAAACGTACAAATGACTTTGCTTAATGCGGCAAAAGCGCGCGTTTCTACGATCGCTGAATACGCACATATATAAAAATGACTTGATTCCGGGCGCGCATCGATATGATTTCACGCGAACGGGAGTCGAGCGATTCCGGCCGCCCTATGAACTCCTACTGGCAATTGCGACTAAATTATGCCATTCGACATTCCGGAACGAAGAGAAGGAAGAAAAACGCGCGTTCCGAGCCCCATTCCCGCGATCGTAGATGCGAGATAACTTTTCTCCGCTTGGTCGTATCTTTCGCGCTGATCCCGACGACGAATGGGGTCATCCTCCAAGTTTTTCGAGTTCGACCAACGAGCTTGCACATCCAGAAAGAGAGAGAGAGAGAGAGAAACTAGTCCTGGAAATTTCACGGTGCACTGCGCGAACTCGAGCCAACCTCGATAATTTTTTCACACTGTTCTTTGAATGTGAAAGGCGTTTCAATAATTGTCGCGACTGCCGTGGAAACGAACGACTAATTTTAATAAAGACAGGGTAATTAATCACTGTACCGATTTACTCCCGTAAATAGCTTCTTTACCTCGCGTCGATTTTCTCAGCGTAAATTTTCTTACGGATTATGAGAAGACATCGTGATCGAGTCGATGTTGCATGAATATCAGAGCGATTTCTTGCGGCGGTTTCAATATGTTCTTCGCCGAGCAAATAGAAGCAGCGAACATCGTCGCTAAAATTAACTGCAGAATTTCCGAAACATTATACCTCTCGTGTAACGTGAATAAAATAGATAGAGAAAATTGTGATGCGCGGCTAAATGTAGCATATCCAAATTAATTGGTTCAATTATAAAATTGTTATGCAATATGTGCGATGGCATATTTTCAGAGAAAAAATAATATATTGTTTTGTTGCGGTGAGATGTATAAAAAGACCATGATCGAGATTACTTGCTATATTGAAAAATCCGTAACGCCGTAACGCAATGGCAAAATATCCACAAATCCGACAAATCCCAATTTCATCTGCACGAATGTACGAATATTCCCAGAGCCGAAATTCCGGCTCTACTGGATTCTGTAAAACAACGTTTCCGCTCTAGGTGACAGTGACATATTCATCATCGCATCGCGTGTACATATCTAATCAGAGATCGCATTTTGAAAGAGAAAGAGAGGGAATTATTATATCTGGCGTTCCATTAATAAATATGAGTGACATATATATAAGAGAAATTAAGGTATTAAAGGGAATATCTCCCAACGCAGATGGATTTCGCGTTTTCTATCGATCACGAACGCTACAAACAATATATATATATATATATAAAACCAGCTGTATAGTTTCTGTCCGTGAGTTTTTCTCTTGCACTCCGTTAAATTAATTTGCGTATAAACTATGGTTTTAAAACGCGTAAACCGTAAAACATGTACACCGCGATTTATTTCTACAGGAGATTTTTTAATTTACCTTAAAAAAGATGTGTATACCATTTCTGCACCGAGTCTTGATTTACTCAAAAGAGCTGCATCTGTTGTAAGTTGCTTCGGCGAAAAATCAACTGTAAATATAAGAGATTCAAACATTTCTTTTTGAATGATTTAGTTTCGAAACTTGTACTATCATTAATTTTGTAAAAAACACAAGTATGCTTTAGAGATAAGAGACGTATCGTCAAATCCAATTATCACGTGCCAAGTATAAGTGAATAATCCAGGATTCAACAGGGCGAAAATCTTCTCCCTGATCGTTTTACTAATGTATATAGCGTGACCCTATATAATGATAAATGCATCATGAGACCAATCACGCCACAAATACTCATAGCGCGCTTTCGGGTTAAGTTTAGTTCTCGGGCCAAGTTTCTGATACGGCGAGCTATTATTGCGCTTGCAAGGGTCAGACTCGCAAAGGTAGTTAACGCGGATGATATAAATTACGTAATCCAAACGGAGGACCATGTCGGATAGGAGGGGAAAGTGCAGGAAACGTGACGTGGCAAACCGGTACAAGCCGAGGGCGGTAGGGGCGAAATCTTATCATCGATATCCGCCGGGATTTCAAGTGCCAGGTAAACAGACTAGTATTTGAGATTTCCCATGCGGGGTTGACAGAGAGAGACAGAGAAAGATGGGGAGAGTGAGAGATGGAAAGAGGAAGAAAGAGAGGTCAGTTTCGGAATCAGAGGAAAACGGAAGCTATGAAGCGAACTGAGATCATAGCGAGGAAAAGACAGCTATACGGAAGATGCTGGAGGCGAAAGTGCGAAAGAAAATCAGGGGGTGAAAAAGAAAGAAAATAAAAAGTAACGACGGTTCTTGAGTGGCCTAGTGCAGTTTTTTCTTCTGTACAGTTCGATACGAATAAAACCAATAGGTCTCCTATAAGAGATTTTTATTGGACGGAATTTTATCCGCGTTATGTCAAAACTTCGATCCAGACGGGCCGGAGGATTACATCTTCCGTTTCCCTTCAATATCCCCCGTGTGTGGATTATGAGCCTTTTCAACTCTTTTCCGTCGCGCATAAAAAAATGCATATAAAATAACTCGTTTATTCGACGCGGTTCATCTTTCGCGATTGGCCGCGCTTTCCCTAGTCTTTGTTTTCCATCTTCGCGTATGCATTTTAAGTAGGGCCGAAGGATATGAGGTTTACATTTAATTTTACCGGTAAAGCTTTCTCTCTCTCTCTCTCTCTCCCTCTCTTTCTCGTTAGGTTTTCGTAAATCTATATAGTGTATATCTCGTGTGGTTAAAATCCGCGGTCGGTCAATTAGTCGTACACAAACGGGTGAGGAAAACTTTATCATGGCAGATTTCTCCGGTGATTTGGAGTTTGTCAGATATATTCGGCGAATGCAAATTCTCCAGGTTTATACGATGAATTTTACTGCGTTGTCATGCAGAATGAGAGTACTGTCACATAGTTATACGCGTTATCCGCACGATGCGACACGCCCGCGCAACGGCTTGATGAATATTTGTCGGGAACGCATCATTCGCCGCTTTCAGAAAGCGCACGCGTGCGTACACATACATAGATATATATATATATATGTATGTATATATACGGAGAACGCGTTAAATGCCGACAGCCTTGAAAACTGCGGCGTAACAAAATTCAAGCTCGTTCGACCCGCTCGTATTTTGTTCCCACATCCCTCTGTCACGCGCTGCCTAAAATCTCCCACCAAAAAAAAAAAAAAGAGAAAAATTTCCTTGTGGAATATTTCCGCGTGCCATACCAGTGGTAGCGAAAAAAATTACGGTGTTAGTTAGCCGCGAATGTCGAGTTAATTTTCAGTATATCTCTCCCGCGAGCACCCACCCTCTCTCACTCGTTCCGCCCTAAATAAATAGCTGTTTTTCCGCTCGGGGATCGTTGAGGTGACGCGAGTTTAATTTAATCCAGCATAGTCCAGAAACGCTTGCTCATCATTGCGCCGAGCGTTAGGAAAGTCCGTTAAAAACGTTGAAAGCGTTAGAAAAAGAGCACTGAAAGACGGATAAGAAGATGCCCTCGCAGAGAATTAAATACGCTCTGGCTCATTTATCGCGCGAGGAACACACTGCGCAATTAGCGCGTCCAAATTGGAGAAGGCTTCGCAGAATCGACATAAATGTCTCGGTATTATTATTCACGATTATATTTATATTTTTCGTTTATATTGGAACAAGAAATGTCTCTTATATTTTTATCACTTCATTATTTTATATCATCTGTATACATATGCTTATCACAATTCAGATGTATAAAATTATTTTAATATTTAATATCACGTAAATTCACGTAATTTTATCAAGTAAATGCCCTGGTATTATATCCACGATAATATATATATTTTTGTTTATATTGGAACAAGAAATGCTTCTCACATTTATTTTGTCAAATATACATATTCTTATCACAATTCTGATATATAAAATTATTATGATATTTAATATACAACGTAAATTCACGTAATTTTATCAAGTAAATGCCCTGGTATTATATCCACGATAATATATATATTTTTTGTTTATATTGGAACAAGAAATGCTTCTCACATTTATTTTGTCAAATATACATATTCTTATCACAATTCTGATATATAAAATTATTATGATATTTAATATACAACGTAAAATTCACGTAATTTTATCAAGTAAATTCGGATTCGAGAAATTGATCGTAAAATAATACAATTTGAATTTGTGAAAATTTCTCAGCCGTTGTAATTATTCAAACATTTTCCGTCAATAATATTAAGTATCGTGGAGATATCTCGTATGTCGAATCAAACGATCGTCGTACAAAAGACGCGGAACGCTCTTCCATGGAAAAACGTTCAGCTGAAAACGATCGATGGGGCAGATATTCGAGCAGTGTGTCTCTGTGCGCGCCTCGAAAGGCCTTTGTGTATCCACTATCCTTCTTGATACGTGTATATCGACGTACCTATATATTTTTCAGGCGAGCCCTTTTACAGTTCGACGCGCTGCTCTAAGGAGCCGCGCCTCCAAGCGCATCCGGGTTATGGCGCAACCGAAATTCGTAACTAAGAAATATGATCCCGCGTAAGTGCACAGTCGTCCGCTCTCTCCTACCTCGTCAGGTTTATCCGTGAGTCCGTCATCTACAAAATTTATTATCGCGCAGCACGGCGCCATCCCCGTATCGGCGTATTCACCCGAAGACACTCGCAGCGAAAAGCACCAGACGTATCGTCGATCTGGCGTTACCCAGGAGAAGGTGCATATATATATTTCTCGATGCCGCATACTTCTTCTTGGCGGGAGAATCTGAAGTTGAATACATTCTTAAATTCCCAGAAAATTACAAGTCAATTTAGGATTTATTTTATATTTCTATAAATAAATTTTATATATATAGTTTAAATAATTTTTATATGATATAAATATATATCATAAAATTGTTGAAATTATATATAAAAGATTTGAAGATTATAACCATTATTTAACGCAGTTTCGATATGCCAGCTGAGAATTGATAGCTAAAACTTGGTAGATGATAAATGTACGTTGACTTAAAAGCATCTTAAACGTTAGACTTCTGCTGGAGACGATGAAATTGGCAGCTACCAAAAACATGAAGGCAACCGTGAGCGATCTGCTGGTGAAGGTTCGAAAGTCGCGTTACCAGCGGTATCGCGTATTCTGCAACGCGCGTCAAGAACGAGAAGCGAGGAAAAAGTAAAGTCGATACATTTCCCACCATCACATGTCACGTTTTTCTCTGAGAACGACACGCGCATCCTAGAAATAATCTTTCCTCGGATTTGCACAAGTAACACCGGTCTTAGTGAACGTGAAAGATACGGAAAATTGTCTCTTTCAATTTCGCTACTAAATTATAGAATTAAACTCATTCACATGCACAAAAACATAATAGTTGTTACATTTTAATTAGAATTGCGAACAAAATGTATTCCATTTTTTTACTGTATTTTTAGTTTCTCGTAATACATTACAAGCAAATTTCTATGAAATAAAATGTAAATTAACTTTAGAATCAACCGCGTTTATGTTGGGAAATTATATTAATTTTCTGTTAAACAACTTGATTTTATAAGATTGCAATAATATATTAGCGCAAGCAAATAATAAAACGTAAGTTTAGAATGGTTTCGATTTCGTCCGAGAGAACGTTGTGTATCAAATTTTACGTTTAATTAATAGTGGTCACATGATACTATTCTAGAACTAATTATTAATAGCTCCTAATTATTAATAGCACAATCAATTAAATTCGATATTGCACTTACACTGAACATTTATTACAACAGTTACTATTGATTCAGAAGCATCAATTTAATAGTTCTCCGCGATCCATTTATCGTGTAATATATGAAGGTATTTAACCGCAATTCCATGACAATTCCATCTCCACACTTTTTATTTACAGATTCTCTTAACTTTATTAGAAGAAGCGTATAAATATTTTTCTTTATCGCGATTAAGAGCAATAAGCGCATTATTATTTTATATATAATAACGATAACATTTATTATTATTTTCTTCTTTTCCGAATTATATTTTATACAACTAAAATAAAATATAATGTACAAATATAATTAAAACAAATCGGCAGAGTTCTGCTGACGGTGCTTTTTAAACCAAAATGGAAGGAAAGTTAATCCCAGGTTGATTTTGCCTAAAAAAAATATTTTTAAATTCCCACGATAAAATACATCCCCCGCTCTGAATCCAGGCGAAGACGAATGGCCAAATTGCGCAGGGCTCTCACAAGACCGGAAGACTGGCAAAGGCACATGCGGGTCCTAGAAAGACTGGCCGCGCCTAAAGTTGCCGTAAGGCCCAAAAAGAGAAGAGTAAGAAAACTATCCTTTCTCTTGCCAGTAAATCAATATTAATCGAGCTAGATAAGAAAGCGTATTCGCCGCGTCGCGGATTCTGACGGGGTTGATCGATCGATCGATCGATCGTGGATATTTCAGATTAAGAAGAAAAAGTGGCGACCGGTCAACATCGAGCGTATAAATTTTCTGGCCCTGCCGGCGATTCGAGTACCGCCGAAATTCAGGGATCCGTTCAAGGTGCCAGCCCGTGCGCTTACTTATCGGATCAGCAAACGAACGGAGAGGCTCGCGGTCCGAAAAAAAGGACCGGAAATTCAATTGCGAATCCCCGGCGCAGTTACGCCGGCCGCGATGAAAGCCATCGGTAGTATATATATATATGTATGTATATTCATACACACACACGCGCGCGCGCGCAATTTTATTCAATTTCATATTAGTCGTTTTAGCTGTCCGCAATCCCTCGCCGATTTCTCGCTCGATATTCATCGGCATCGATCCGAAGGTAGCAACGGCTCCGTTGTCGTTTATATCGGTTCGCTGTACCGATACTATTACGTGCTATTGGATTTCCGTAACTAGACTTATATGGGGTGTCCTAACGCGCGGATACACCTATCTTCCTCTCTATCTAAAGATTCTGTGATAAAATACATTTTTCCCTGACAAGCGTTTTATGGGAATATCTTTCTTTCATTATTCGTTTTAGGAATTTTTTGTATAAATTTTAATATAAATATTTTAAAAATTAAATGCCTCAAAATGAAAAATACCGTTAAATTTCTTGCTAAAATTAACGAAAAAAACAAAAAAACTTTTGTGATCTCATCTTTTTATATTTCAGGAAAATTGCTTTTAATATTTTTAATATTAAATTATTTGGGAAATGTGCAGAATTTTTGTTGATGTTAAAACAGCTGCAATTTTTCCTGACATAAGTTTTCTATTATTTTATTTTAATGGACTATTACAACTACCGCATATATATCCGATGAATTCGGGACACCCTACATAGTAAATCCGTGATTTCGCCGGCCCCATTTCTATACGTCGGGAAAGACGACGGATTTGCTCCTCGGTGGCTGCGCGACTGTTCAATAGCTTATGCGGTAACATTGAGGTTTTGCGAGAGCATATTCCGTATTCTATATTATATATATATATATATATATATATATATATATATACAGAAGTTAAAATTCATATCTATTTTTTTAACAAACGCGTTTTAACAAGCATACAGATTTCAATATTCATCGAACATTGATGAAAAATATTGATCAGATTACAGTTTTAACACATTGAAAATATTTTTATACGTTTGATATATATTTTGTTTTTATTATTAACTGACCCGAAGTTGGATAAAAATTTTTGCGAAAGTAATAGGAAATGCGTTTTTTTTCGACGTATCGCGTACATTCTTCATCAGTATCGAGAATATTTTGCTATTAATTTCAGATATCACTATAAACTCGCATGATATAATGCGGAATTCGCGTTATCTTTCCATTCGACCATAACTGCGTGGTAACGATTTTGTAGCATTTGATATAGACACGGGAAGATAAACGGGACACAGTCTACACATTAAGCTCGCGGTACACGAAATGTGTTTTGCCGCCGATCTGCCTGCAATGCCGTCGCACTTGGTGTGTTGGCTTGTTACAGATCGCCTTGCCCGCAGCGTTATTCCATATCATAATGTTAGCGACACTTGTAATTATCGGTATTGTAATTATTTAAACGAAAATATGTCGCTCGCAACGTTGAAGTTGAAAACACACCGTTTGCTCTCTATAACGCTTTTAATATCACTGGCAAACACACAATTCTCTGTTTAATATATTGCTTAATATCATATATAAATAGAGGATGTGATCGTTTCTCTCTATTGTTACACAATTATTACATCTCCATTAATGTACACTGTATTTATTTTATTTTATTTTTAAACCGTATGCCATATATCGAATTTTGTTTTCATGATATATCAAATTTTTTTTCAATTGTACCGTTCATTTTTTTTTTATACTTCTCTCTATTAGTATGCTCGGTCACATTTCCGTTGTCTTGTTTTCTCGTACAGCACGTTTAAGCCACCGCGTCTGATTAAACGACATCTTCTTCCACTATCGATTGACAAGGGCGTATGTGCGACAGTAGATTAATTTTCCTTTGAACCGCCGTCGCGGCAGGAACGTAAATAAACGGGTCTAAACAGTCGAGAGTCGATTGTCGGATCAAACCTGTGTATCGAGGGCACAAACCCTGGGACTCTCTCTCTCTCTCTCTCTTCCTCTCTGTGAGTCAACCTGGTTGTGTCGTCTCGTGCCGCCCGTTGTGTGTAACTTTCCCTGTAACATATTTCTAAGGGGATGCCTCCTCAAGTTTCTCCCCAAGCGTAACCGACGTTTCGTCGTTGACGTGGAATTTAATTTTGCGCGCGAGAACGTTGCCTGATACAAAACGTACAAATCCATCGGAGCCTCTCGGCGATAATAAGAGGGTACATAAGACGAGGGCCGGCCGGCTTTTAATTTTCTCGTATATAATCGCTCGCGACGAGGGCGAGTCGACGCGCAACGTTTTTCCATTGAAATCCGTCTGTAATAAAATACGAGATATGAGAGAGAGAGAGAGAGAAATGGAGTATAGTGAAAAACGCGCCCGATCGCGCTCAACTTTTGTAATATATCTTTCACGCGCGCTCTGGCTATAAAGCAAAAGACATAAATCAAAATATTCTACTTTTCAGGAGAGGCGAAAGAAGATTAAAATATTAAATATTAACCAAATAACTCTCTTTTTTCCCTCTCTTTAAGCCGTTAATGCTGTTAACGTTCGAAAAGGAATTATATGCACATACTGTTAAATTATCTCAATTTTGACACAATGTAGGTACATTTTTCTTTTCTCTGTTTTGTGAGAGCGGAAAATTGTAACGTTGTTATCCGAATCATTATTTACCATGAGGCTAATTTCAACGAACGTTACGCGACATTCATATCTTAAGCATTTCACATATTCAGAAATTTATTTATATTCATAAACGTTCTCATATAATCACGCGCGACTATATTTGATTAACGGTTTGCTTTTCGCGCAAACACATTGCATGTTTAGAACATTAATCCATATTGCTATTACACAGTCGTGTAACGTAACTGCCAACCAACTAATCAAACAAATATCGCACGGCTGCGGTTCGTGCGAAATGAAATTCGGGAGAGATTACGGTTACGGTATAACCGCGCGAAATAGTTTTGCGCCATAATAGAATGCAAGTTGGGTCTTGCTTCGCGCAGAGAGAAACTCGGTGAACCCGGTTGAGAAAAATTAAGTAGGGCTGACAAGGCAATGTTAATGGGTAGGACTGACCGATTCGAACGATGTAACCCGTTTAATGCCGTAGCTTCCGAGAGAGTAATCGCCCTGGCGAAACCCGTCCAGCGCCCTACGGGAAGGCAGACGGATCTTCGTGAAGATGCCTTTGGTGTTTCGCCGACGGCGTTAAAGGCGAGATGTTCCAGACGTCTCAAGAGTCTCGCCAAACCGAAGAAATACCCTAAACCCGTCTTCAAGAGATTGAGAACCGCGCTCAAACGATGAAGTCCCGCGGGAGTGGAGCAAATTATTTGTGTATAACACTTTCTTCTCTCTCTCACGCCACGCTTTAATTACGGTTTGTCTTGTTCTTGTATACTTGTATAAAATTTCATATTTTTCTCGTAATTTCCGCCGCGTGTCCCCTGTATAATCTCGCGAGTGAGGGAGCCTGGTTATACGCGTACAATACAATTTTCAGCTCTTTCTCGCCGAGCAAAAAGCATTATATTATCTCAATTAACAGTAATGTATTGGAAAAAACATTTACGCAATAATCTGGATTTATATATGTAACTCGAATGCATATACCTGTCTTCATTAATAAATTGTTATTTAGAATTGGCCATTAGAGATTGCATATCGAATATACACAATATACAATATATCGCAAGAATAATAATTCACCGCACATGGGAGATAATCGGGAACGTATCTCGTATTAGCGCCGCACTTTGATGTATTCGCGAAACATGCACATATATATATATATATATACATACGTGGAAAACACAGAGAGGGTGGGTGCGCTTTATATTTTGCAAACGCACTGCGATTCGCCTCGCGAGACAGTACGTGCAATATATCAAAAAGCGTGCGGGTCTGTCGTGTTGCATTATGAGCGCGTTGCGGCAAAATCGTGAGATATAACCGACGTCGACGTCGTAAATTAGGCCAGCCGGCAATCTGCTGGCGCTCGAAACGGATTACCGTTACGTAATGTTATAACGAACATTCTAGCTGTCGCGCAACTTCGTAAAGACATTCCGCGTTCGCGTGATATCTCCGAGTGCATGGAAAGACGAGAAGGTCGCGGGAGAAGCGAGCGAGCGAGAGAAAGAGCCCGACCGGACTTTAACGCGTTCGGTATTTTCTTATTTGCGGAAGGAATGCGCGAGAAATACGACACACGCCCTTAAACGCTCCGCGATATTAAAAGGACGTTTATACGGCAAAGCGCGGAAAGAAAGCGTTATTACCCTCTCTCTTTTAATCCGCGGAGGATATTTTCTCTCTCGGAGATACGACAACTTCCCATTTGCGCAAATAACAAGTAAAACGAATTAGAATATAATGGACGTAATAATTAGTTATATCTAAATTGATCATTTTTTTTTATTTATTCCAACGAAATATGATTTTTCGCCGATACGATTCTTATGAAAGACCGGATCAAATTATTCGAGGAGTAACCTGTATACTTATTTATAATAATAATAATAATAATGAATATATTTTTATTATTATAATAATAAATATATATATATTTTTTTTTATATTTTTATTCGCATGCTAATTTCGTGATTCAGTACGATACTGCGCTCTTGCTTCTTTAATGATATCGACATTAACATTCGACATTGCAAAATTACTTAATTAAAGGTACGTTGTACGTCTTTACCTTTGCCAAGAAATTAAAGGGGTAGTCTTTGAATTTCTAATAGCGAATATTTTTCTTTTCTGTGTTAAGCTCGACCCTTTCTTAATTAACATCTCGTTCTCTAGCTAATGTTACTAATAGCAGTGTAAGAAGCGAACGATCAAAGTACCTAAACTCTGCAAAAGGCGCGTTTCGAGTCGACCTTTAACAAGCAGTCGATACCTTCTCCGGTATATTTTGCAACATATTTTCACAAAGATTCATCAGCTAGTACCGGTTTCGATCGTTTATTCAACACTTGTTCGACAAGCTAAAACTTGGCGATTTGCATATCATTATTGCACATACGCACGTTGTTTCCCATCTATAGCATTTATACAAGGTGTATCTACAATAATTAAGTGAAAAATTTTAGGAGATGATTCTTTGTCGAAAATTATATAAGGGAAGTTTCTTATATAAATATATATTCTTATATAATATTTCTCCCTGTAGAGTTACACTTTTCTAAAGAGGAAGATAAAAATTAAATTTTTTTTATAAAAAAATATTAATAAATATTCTTTTTATTAGGGAAAAATATATCCACCCAATTTCATTTTTTAAATTTTTCTGAAATTTGAGAAAAAAAACTTAATTTTACTCCTCAAAGAGGGATATAAGAGTATATACGTTTATATAAAAATTCTCCCTTAATTTTTAACAAAGAATATCATCTCCTAAAAATTTTCGCGCTTAAATACACTTTGTATATCTATTTGTAGGAAATTCAACACAACACCACACAATACGTGAACACAATTGATTATGCTTTAATAACGAGCAAAATCGTATAACGTACAACTATCTTCAGCAAAATGATTAATTGAACGTCATAAACGTTTATCTAATTATTAATATGTAAGCTTCGCTGGTGCACCATTGAAGCATCGAATTTTAATTACGTTCTTTAATCAGCTTAGAAACTTCTCGTCCGTTTAGACATAAATATACTTAACGTTAAGATGAAAAATTGCAAGAGATGTGGATTTTTCTCGAAATTCTCACCGAATCGACACATTCCAAATTCAAAGAATGCGTCGTTGAAATTTATTCCCCGTGAAAGAAGAGGCATCCTACGTGGATTCTAATATAAAATTGACCGAGGCAAAAAAAAAAAACGACGAATTTTTATCACACGCTGAAAGATACACTCACCCGCAGCCTTCTTGAACAAATCCCTTTCATCATGCGAAAAGCGATTGATAACAAATCCTGTCGTGGATAAAGAGAATGAAAGGATCGAGAGACCAAGCTTTAATACTTGCAGGTATATAGACGTGCGCTAAAAATTCTAGCTTTGTCCGAAAGCAAATTTTGTTTCAAAGGGTCACCTCGATCTATATATACATATATATATATATATATATCTCCCTTTTCCTCTCTTGCTTGCCTACTTCTATCCTTCACCCTCTTCCGCCACCGCAACGGCCTTGATCCACCGTTTGATCCAACGGGATCCGGCTCGCGTCAATAGAGAACAGCGAAACGGGAGCATGAAAAATGGATCCGAAGGGGTTAAAGCGATTCGGCAAACGTCAGACACGCGATGTCGACGGTCGAATAGGAACTCCGGCGGCGACGGGGCGGCGGAAGTGACGCGGAACCTCCGCAAATATACTCCGCGCGGCCGACTCAGGACGGATACCGCGGTTCGAACGGAATATAAATGTAAACGGCGGGAATATGTGGTGTCGCGCGATCCGTTCGCGCAATTCTATTCACGTTCTGACACTCCTACGCTCCCCAGCTGTCACCGTCGACCAGAATCGCGCGGTTCGCGTTTGACCCCTTCTCTCTCGCTCTATCTCTATCTCTCCTGCGTGCCACCCCATTCCTCTTCATTCCTTCTCGTCCGTCCTCCCCTGGTCCACAGATGTGCATCCCCTTATCGGAGCGAGAGTGCGTTCGGCAACCCGAAACTATGCGCGGCAGCTACTCGCGGTCACCTAAATCAGTGTCTCTCAAATTGGGTTAAGAGCTTTCGGAGCATGTTGATTAATTTTATTTGTTTTATCTCAGTGCGTATGCTTGACAGAATTTTGTGAATTAAATACGAGAGGTAAAGTCATTTCGGCAAAATTATTATTTACAAAATTGTCGTCTGACAACGTTAATTTTCACTGCTCCTCTTCTTTCTTTTAATTTTATTTGCTTTTTATTTTACATTTAGATAAATTTAATTAAGTAACAGTTTCATTATTTTTTCTTATTATACCTAAGGAAAGGATCGCTTAGGTAAAATATGAGAAACACTGAGATAAATTGGTATGCAAATACAATCCACGTTGAGGTCGGCATTTATACACTCTCTGAATATTTTTATAGCAAGGATTATACGTAGTTTTGCTTGTTTCATATATATCCGGATTTCCAAATCTCTTATTCCATCCAGTGAATCATTACGATGTAGTGTATGATAAATGTGTAAGTGGTAGCTGAGAGTTGAGAGTTTTCCTCTCTGAAAACGACTCTCGATAAATTTACTCAACTGAAAGAAACTTTTATATATGTACGAACTTAACTTTGAAATTATGATTGGGATTCTGAGAGGATGCATCTAAACTATAAATTCAAGTTTCTGAAATGTAAACTAAAATGGTAGAAACAAAAAATATGTCAATTTCAATATATTGATATTTCTATAAACGTGAAATTCTTTTAAAAATAAATATAATATGGATTTTCGATTGAAAAAATGAAAAAGAGAAAGTTTATTGGAAACAAATTGAAAAATGTTTTGATTAAAAAATTAAAATAGAAATTCCTCCTGTCACAGGATCGACTTAATTTTGTCAGTATTAATTATTCTTAAATTACTATATTCTTGGAATATTTTCTTCCAATCTTTTTTAGCCACTTACAAAGAAATACCAAAGAAGCCATTCTAATTGTATCGTTATATTCTTTCTTAACATTAAGAAGGTATTTAAAAAATAATCGAAAATAATTTCTTTTCATTATATACAATACATAGTAATGACACATCGTCTAGAGATGGAATAATTAATTTCTTAAATAATAAATAATAAATTAAATAAACTTTAGATTACTCGACTTTGTTGTGTCATCGATTCTTTGATCTCGTTTGTTTCTTCATCGCTAAAATTTTATGGCATTCATATATAATATTACTTGCGCGGGATATTAATCACACGAGACGTGAGTTTTATTACAGAGATAAAAATGCGAAAAAATTACGATCGTATGAAGTTTTGATTCACCAGCGACGTCTCGCAAATTAGTGCAATGTACAAATCACAAACGATGGAGGGAATTTCAAAATTGTGTCGGCAATTTCACGCGTCACTTTCCACGGCTATGCTACTAAACCTGTTGCTTCATTTTCATGCATTTTTCGCATTTCGAATAATAAAAAATATAAAGCGATTGTTATATCTCTACTATAATACACAAATAAATATATACAAATTAGATATAAACATTCCTGTGAAATGCAGTATCAAAAAATATATTCGTCGTTTTATCAACTGCTTGGATTTCGGCAATTATATAAATTTTGCAAGATATGTGTTTTAAGAAATTACACATGTACATATCGAATTTTTTACTATGCGATTGATAA